GGAAAAAAATGAACTTTTGTCTGGAGTTTTTCATTTTTTTCATATATTTTCATTTATATATATATATATATATTATATATATATATATATATATATATATATATATATATATATATATATATAAATGAGAAATGAAATGAACTTTTGTCTGGAGTTTTCATTTTTTTCATATATTTTTCATTTTTATATATATATATATACATCACGGAATTTGGGATTGACCGGAGCTATATCGAGTCTAATTTGTTACCTCTTGGTCACTGAAGTTAGGATGGCGTTTGCCTCCTATCGTAACCGTTCGGATTTCAATTCTCGATAGTAGATGCACACTGCTGATGAGTCCCAAATATAGAACGAAACGGCTGTCCAGTGCTTTCTGCATTCTGCTGAGGTTTCTTCTAGACTCGATGAATTACTTAATTATGATATAGATATATATATATATATATATATATATATATATATAATATATATATATATATATATATATATATATATATATATATATATATATAATATATATATATATATATATATATATATGTAAGCGTAAGTGCATTTATGCATGCATGTATGTATGTATGTGCCCCCCAACTTTTTGAAATTACAGATGAAAAAGTCACTACTACACTTGGTTCTCGTATATTGTTCTAATTTTGAAAAGTTTCATTTTAATCAATTCGAAATTTGATAGAACAATTAAAACAACAAAATGTATGTGCGTGTGTGTGTCTGTGTGTGTCTGTGTGTGTCTGTGTGTGTAGGTGTGAAAAGTGAGAAAAATGTTATTTTCGCCTTTCTGTAACAGAATTCAATTATTTTTTTTTTATCGTCTTTAATCTCCCCCTCATTCCCGTTTCTAATAGGTCGGTGTCGCTGTACCTAAAAAGGAGAACACACACATACACGCGCGAACTCATGCACGCACACATATATACACACACGTGCACGCACGCAAATATTATTGTGCTGTTTCATCATAAAAGCCTGAGTCATCAGCTCCCCAGTCGCGCGTGCGCACAATTCCCACCTCCTTGTGTAAATCCTGTTACACTACTACTCCCGATTCCATCTTGATCACCATTTGTATTATCCATGCGTTTCGTTTAGAAAAAAAAGCGACATTTCAAAAGAATATTGCTGTTTTATTTGTCTTCCAAGCAGACATTTTTGTTTGAAACAGGAGTGATTCCAAGCTCCCAAAATGGAACACCGTCTTTGAAAAATGTCTGTGGGTGTGCGTAAGAGTTCTCCTCTTCCGTTGACGAATGATAACACCCTGTCTTCTTTGATTAGTTCTTTTTCGACGACGTTTGTATGAGATTATCTCGGCTTATCTTCTGAAACAAGTAGACACAATGTGTATTTAGGCATCAGTTGTTAATTAATAGAACCAAAAATATTAATCAATTCATTTTTTTATGGTTTATCAACCTCTAGTTATTTAAAGCCAGGAAATATTAGATAGCAAGAATTTTTTTCACCATTTATATTATTCGGACTATTGTCTTCATCTTTGCTGCCATATTTATTACAACGTTGTACACTCCGGCCTTCTTCGTCATAAAAGCCTGATATTCATTAAAACATGGAACGTGGAATTAGAAAAGTCTACCCCAGTGAGCGAAATAAAGGGTTCAAGTTCGACATTCCAACCAACTGAAGAAGGCCGGAGCGTACAACGGGCAAAGCCTTGTAATAAATATGGTGACAAAGATGATTACAAGAGTCCGAATAATATAAGTAGTGAAATATTTTTAAATAGCAAGAATTATTTTTAGATAATAATGCTGAATTTCAGGGGATCCTATAAAGTAGAGCCTATAAACGCGTAATACAAAAGTAAATATTTGTTCAACGGAAGAAACATTCAAAACGTGATATTATAACTAAAATCTTCCATTAAACTAGTAAGGTATAAGAACAGCACAAAACTTACTAGTTATATATGGGAAATGAAGGAAATAAATAACAAAAGTTCCATTGTAAAATGGGATGTGGGAAGAAAGACCAGTGCATTTAGTCTCAGCAATAATATGTATAAATTAAGACAAGTGGAGAAATTTATGATTATGCTGTACCCTGAACAACATAAGCTGCTTAACGAAAGATCGGATGTGATAACGGAACGAAATCATGCTAGGAAATTCCTTCTAGCAAGGTAAGAATTCACATAGGAATATTTATATAAAATATGTAATTTTTCCCATTTTTGAGTTCTTTCTTTCTCCCCTGTATCAGCAACATGTTTATTTATCGAAGAATGTCTTTGGAATGGAAAATCCAATTCTACTGCCTGGAGATAGCTAATTGGTAGAAATCTTGGTAGCAGGAAGGTTGGTTTTCTAAAATTTTATACCTTAAATTGTTCGACATTTTCTTTTGTGGAAAATTGTATGGAGCACTTTTTCAGTAATATAACCGTTTAGTGACGAATATTTTTGTTTTTGTCAAGTTGGATTTTTGAACTGAATTATATATATATATATATATATATATATATATATATATATATATATATATAGAGAGAGAGAGAGAGAGAGAGATAGATATAGATATATAGATATTTATATATAGTTTTAAGGTGTGCGATATTTATGGGATAAAGTGCTCAATATTAGAGATAGAGCGTATGTAAATATAAATAGTGAAGTGAATATTGAAGTCAGCACTCAGAGGCGACAGGCTGTTTTCATGCTAGACGCAAGCGGCCTGACGATTGCGTCCAGCATGAAACAGCCTGTCGCCTCTGAGTGTTGACCTCAGTGTTCAATTTCTTCTCTCTCTCTCCCTCTCTCTAATTGGTAGAAACCTTGGTAGCAGGAAGGTTGATTTTCGAAATATTTTATACCTTAAATTGTTTTACATTTTCTTTTGTGGAAAATTGTAAGGAGCACTTTTTCAGTAATGTAACCGTTTAGTGACGAATATTGTTTTTTGTCAGAAGTTTGATTTTGATTGAATTTATATATATATATATATATATATATATATATATATATATAGTTTTAGGTGTGCTATATTTATGGGATAAAGTGCTCAATATCAGAAATAGAGCTTATGTAAATATAAATATAAAAGTGAACATTGAAGTCAGCACTCAGTGGCGACAGGCTGTTACAAGTTGAAATACTGCTAGGAAACTCCTTCTAGCAAGGTAAGAATGCACATAGAAATATTTATATAAAATATGTAATTTTTCCCTCTTTTAACTCTTGCGGGTTATTTAAAACCAGAAAATATTTTTTTATAGTAAGAATTTTTCTTTAGCTAATAATGGTTATATTCAAGGGATCGACAATCAAACTGATATAATGCAATCGGCTCTAAAACTTAGGTGTGAATCAAAATTGTTTTGACCTAATTAGGAACTCCGACATTTGAAAAGAAAGCCATTTTTGCCTTTCAAAATAAACTTCTATTTTGACACCAATTTTGTGGAACAGAAAAATGTCGAGGTTCTTGAGTATTCCGGCAAGAGGATTATATAGAACGATGTTAATATAGTTTGTAGAAACTTGCGTATCTTTGGTCAAGATTCATTTCTCATTACAGATTGTTTCTTTAAGTAGAGATTTACTATAAATCTGAATTCAGATCTTGACCTACGAGTATTCCAATAAAAGATTGTTTTGAATTATTCATTTTTACGCTTTATCAATCCTTTGGAAGTAATTTAAAAAACAAGAAAACATTTTTAGATTGTGAGGATTTTTTTCAAAAATGTACTGCTGCTAATATTTTGTTTTTTCCAAAAAATTTATTGCTGGTAATTTTTTTTTTCTTCAAAAATGTATTACTGGTAATATTTCTTCCAAAAATTTATTCCTCGTAATAATTTTTTATAAAAATATATTCCTGGTATTAAAACCTATTTTTACACTTCTATAGTGTTTTAACCCCAGTTCAGGTCTTAACTATTTGCCCATAGGTGGGACCTTAACAGGTGCTACCACCCAGGGTCAGGGTGGACCTGGGAACACCAGCAATTAAGAGTTGGTTCCACGGTTCTCAAAAGCTCCTGATCAGAGGCCTCGTTGTTGGAAGTAGTTTATCGTCTTACCCAGGATGCGGATGTAGTTTATCGTCTTCCCCGGGACGGTTTTTGGTGTGGTGGGGAGATAATATATAATGGTTTAGTGATATATGGCTTAATTATTAACCCATAGCTGGGGAGAGAAGAGGTGGAGTCTTATCTTTCTCAAGGGTATTAGTGCGTAAGTTAATATAAAAAACCGAAGTATAATTAGAACGCAGACCTTCAATTTACAATTTTAATCCATTATCCATTACACCACCCGCACATACAACACCTGTTATTCCCAAGATCGACGCAATGTGTCTTGGTCTGGAAAGTGAAACTAGGTACCTGAGTTCAATCTCCGGCGTAGTCTGCTTCGTCTACATAGTACTAAATAAAGAAAGAAATCAATAAATAAAGAAAAAAAGAAAAAGGAAAGAAAAAGGAAATAAAGAAAGAAAGAAGTGAAGAAAAAGAAAGAAAAGGAGAAAGGAAAGATAAATAAAGAAAAAGTAAATAAAGAAGGAAAGAAGTGAAGAAAAATACATAAAGAAAGAAAAAGAAAAAAAGGAAAAAGAAAGAAAACGTAAATAAATAAAAAAAGAAAGGGTAAAGATAGAATTAAAGAAGGAAGAAAAGTAAATAAAGAAAAATAAAAAAGAAGGAAAGAAGTGAATAAAAATAAAGAAAGAAAGAAAGAAAGAAAGAAAAGGAGAGAGAAAAAGTCAATAAATAAAGAAAAAGAAAGAAAGGTAAAGATAGAAGGAAAGAAGAAAAAAGAAAGAAAAGTAAATAAAAAAAGAAAGAAGTGAATAAAAATAAATAAAGAAAGAAAACGAGGAAGAAAAATTAAATAAACAAAGAAAAAGAAAAGGCAACGATAGGAATAAAGAAGGAATAAGAAAGAAAAGTAAATAAAGGAAAAAAAAAAACATTTCCAAGCCCTTAACCATTTGACCACCTACATATCCACGTTTAACTTAATATTCCCAAGAGGTGACCCATCGAGGTACTGATCAGGCTCGACGTTGCTTAACATTGGTGATCGTACGAGAACTAGCGTTTCAACGTGCTATGGTCATAAGCCCTGTAATAAAAGAAAAACCCTTCTGCGTTGATATTCAATAAAGAAAAAAATGGTATAAAATTGTCTACACCGAAAAAGAAAAGGTCATATTTGCACTTTTTGAATAAAAATATTGGCCCTCGAGATGAACCTGTACAATATTGTAACATGGCTGGTGTAAAATAAAAGAGATCAATTTAAGAAGGAAAAAATATCTCCTAACTAATAAACTAACAAACACATGCGGTAAATATATCGTATTTCTGAAACAGGGCAGGGGAAGTTAAGGGTTACAAGTATTACGACAACAAAAAAAAAAAAAAACAAACAAACAAAAAACCAAAAAACGGAAAAAAAGTATTTCCATTGATCCGTGAATTGAATCAGCAACAGGCAATAAGTCGAGAATCAGTAAAAAAAAAAAAGGAGTTCCTTCATCCTGAAATTCTTTAGTGAAGTATTTGCTTTTGTAGCGAGTAGGTGACTTAAAAAACGTTACAATCGTAAAATTCTTTCACTCGTTGTCTCCCTTCTTGCTGACGAGTGATCAGCAGCATTTACCTGCTGGTGACAGTAGACTTTAGCCTATACAGACCCCAAGCGTTGTGCTATTTATTATTAAAAGCAATCTGGCTGGGGAAAAGAAGGCCTTTCATATTCAGCGAGAAATCGAAACGGAACAACTTTGGTCATGAGGACAGTCGATAAGACCCACTGCGTATAGGCTATTGTTGTTTGACAAACACCAGTTCGAGCCACAGGGGATGTAGTGACAATGCTGCAATTTCTCTTTTTTTTTAAGCATTCAACCCCAAGCAAGGTGGGAAGCCACTAGCACGCAAAGGGTTTCAGAGTAGGCGTGAGAACAAAGAGGAGTGATATTAGAAAGGATGAAGAGACGCTTAGGGGATAGATCAGGGTCTCTGGAGACGTCGATTGACATTACATTTGAATAGTTGGAGATTATAGTTATCAGGAAAAGAAGAAATGGGGACGGAGTTCCACAGGCGAAAGGTGCGAGACATGAAGCTATTGGAGTAGAAGAGACGGCTACATTTAACAGTTTCGACAGTGAAAGGGTGAGAGCGAGATGCCAGCCGAGTTGAACGCTTTAATTCATGATGTCTGGGAACCAGCGAAAGCAGCTCATCGGAGCAGTTACCCTGAAAGTATTTGCGAAAAAGACAGAGGGAGGAATGGCACGTCTGTGAGAGAGTGACTGCAGACGAGATGCCAGATCAGAGCCAATTACATTGCATATCCGTCTTTGGATTTTATCAAGGACCTTGAGACAATTAGAAGGGGCTCCAGACCATATATGGCAGCAATACTCCATGCAAGGGCGAATGGTTGATTTGTAGTTTTGAAGGATCGACTCCGGCGAGAAAAATTTCCTTACGGTGGACGAAGCTATTGACTCAATGTATTTGTTCAATCTCAGGTCAACGGACAATGTGAGACCGAGCAGTTCCAAAGAGGTGCTCTCGTGGAGTTGAGCGTCAGACATTCTAATGGTAGGCAGGGATGTTTCTCTCTGGTGATTAATAGAGAGCAGTTTTGTTTTTGAGGCATTAAAGTTAACCAGCCAATACCTTCCCCAGCTTTCTTGTTAAAATATTCATTTGATATAATATTTATACGAAAAATGAAAATTTACTTTGCCAGCCACAGATTATTTCCGATATTAAATTTTATGTCTTCATATATTGTTTTATACTAGTGTGCACGTGCTGTCAAAACTGACGGCAAAGACGAATGTAATTGTAAGTAGTTTTCGTTTAAACCATGTACAATTTTGCTATTTGAAATAGTTCGTTGTTAACGTGAATAATTGAACAGTATACAAATTTCTAGCAGGAGTAAAAGGCAGGATGAACAACCGGCTACCTTTCGACGATGCTGTCTGTCCTCGTCGATCAAAAAGACATTTGGTGTATTACGTATGCCGGAGAGGATGGCCAGCCTGAACCCGAGAACGCCCGCTTGCAAAAAGAAAAACGTCGCGACAGTGAATTGAGCGTTGCCTTGAAGTTGTTCATGCAAATGATTCGTGTCGTGCATAGCGAGATTACCGATATTTCTGGGCTCAAAATAAGCAGAACGATTTTCTCTTTCAAGGATTGAGACACCAGTATTATTATCGTGCGTTACATCGTGATTCTGATTTCCTGTGTATTCGTCATCACTTTCTGTGCACTGTTTACGTTCGACATCCGTTTGCATGCTTCCTGTGTGGAATTCTACGTCGCCTCAGCTATGGACGTGTCTCTGGTTTTCTTTTGCTTTGTTTTGTTCATCTTCGGTGATGATTTTTGTTCTGTCCCTCCTCGTTTGTTTTCCGGAAGCAGGAAAAAAAAAACTTTCAAATTTATAGACACCACAGGAAAGATATGCATATTTTATCCCCATTGTGTCTGTGCGTCCTTCCTGATGGTGTGTCGTCTTGACGTGCTAGGACGGCTTGCGGGATTCAACGATCCCCAGAGTTAAGTGGGCGCGGGCTTCTGACCTTAGCAGGTCCAACCAAGTTCAACAGGTTTATAGGGGAAGTGCCAGACGAAAGACACATCCTGATTCTCCAGTCTGGGTGTTGTGTAATAGGGTAACAACCTAATCACTTAAAAAAATAGTTTGTTACAGAAACCTCAACAATATCTTCAAACAACAGGATGGAAGAGGAAGAGTCTTCCAAAGTAGAGTGTATGACGTGTGCTCGTGAAAATCCCCCGGGAAAGCAACCGGCACGACAACCGGCTGTAGAGGATCGTCCGGAACCGCGTCCGTTAAAGAGGTATTGTTGCAGCCCTATTTTTCCCAAAGAATTTAGAAGCATGATGAAAACAAATAATGAATTCTGTATGTGTGTGTGGATGTTCTTGAGAGTCAAATGAAAAATTAGTACATCGTCTCTGGTGATAGTCGATCCCATAATCCAAGACACCCGGAAGAAAAGTAATTCTATGTGAGGGTTAATGCAAGACGAAATAAAATATAAACATCGGCCAAGATTTTCTCTCTCGCCCTTTCTATTCCCCCCGCTTTCTCTCTTTCTTTCTTTCATTCTTTCTTTCTTCGCAGTTTCTTTTTGTGGCTACTTTTCATCACTCGTTTTGCTTTGATTGTACTTTGCAAGGAGAGGAAAAGAAGAGGATTGCTTTGTAGTTTGTCATCACGTTAGCTTTTTGCATGTGGAATCGAATGTAGTCATGACTTCTCTGTGTCTCATGCCAAAATTTTGCAGACTGCTTCTCAACTGTTTCACACACAAAACTACGGAAATGAATGTCTTGATGGAAAAATGAACTTTATCTGTAGCTTTCATTTGTTTATATATATATATATATATATATATATATATATATATATATATATATATATAAAAGTGAACATAGAAGTCAACACTTAGAGGCGACAGTCTGTTTCATGCTATATGCAATCGTCAGTATTTACACACGCTCTATCTCTGATATTGAGCACTTTATTCCATAAATATAGCACACCTTAAGACTATATATATATATATATATATATATATATATATATATATATATATATATATATATATATGTATGTATGTATTGATTTGTTTCACGATTTATCTACCTTTTGTAGGTTATTTCAAACTAGAAAAGTATTTTAATACTGTAAGAATTTTGGGGAGATAATATTTCTTTACTGGTATAAATAGTACTAATTAACCTATAGTTTGGGAAGAAGAGGTGGATTCATACCTTTTCCAAGGGTATTCAATCGTAAGTGAATATAACAAACCTAAGTGGAATTAGAACTCGACTCTCCGAGTTCAAACTACAAATCTATTAAAACATGCGCATCTCCAATAGCACCTGATATTCCCAAGCGGTTTTCCATCTAGGTACTAACTAGGATCGACATTGCTTAACTTCGCTGATCGTAGGAGAGCCGGTGTTTCAACGTGATATGGCCGTAAGACGGAGCGTTGTTGAAAAACGACGGCAATAACAACAAGGAAGAAAAATTCGAGCAAAATATTTTCCATTTTCACAAATGTCGACGAATTAATCACTTCAATTTTCTAACGAAAACATTTTCTCTATAACAAGTTGTCCGATTCCATTCTTGGATTCTTCGAATTATTCTAGACTGTCGGCTTTTGAGAAAAAAATAGTTAAAGCACAAATATTTCCGTTGCAAAGACAACCGCCAACACGTGAGGACAATCCAAATATTCTTAAAGATGCACGAAGCTGAACTGCGAATTTCTAACATGGATGAGTTAAATATCTTATTGACCATGACAATTGGATAAAAATGGTCACTAAGTGTATATAAAGGCACGGAAAGGAATATTATTGGCCCTGTGTTCTGATGGAAATAATCTGCATCTGTAATATTTTTTAATCATTTTACCCTAAGGAATGCAATAAAGCTACTAAGACGCAAGGGGTTACGGAGTGTTAGAGAATACGAGAAAATCCGAGAAAATACGAGAAAAATACGAGAAAAAAATAAGCTATTCAATAGCGAGAAAAATAAAAGAACAGGAATTAAAACAGAAAATAATGATTGACGTTGGATTTAAATTTTTGAAGATTAAATTTGACTGGGAAGCCAAAATCTGGAAACGAGAAGTGCTATAGAGAAACTATCATAAAACTTCCGGCTACATCTAGCTACTTCAACTGTAAAATTATGGGACCTTAACGCCAATCTAGTACCGTGCCATAGAGGACAGCTCATGTGAATAAATACCATGAAAGTATTTATTAAAAAAAGGCACAGGCGAGCTACGTTATGGCGACAGGAAAGTGATTGAAGACGAGATGACAAGTCAGGAAAAATAACATTGCAGTACTGCATTGCAATATTGAATATGGTATAGGATAGAAGGAAATTCAACACAGAATAGAATTAGATGAGAAAAAAATGACATTAAGATATTGTCTTTCCACACGGTTTTAAACAAAAGGATAGGAAGGAAACTCCAAACAGTAATAAAGAGTGTTACAATTACTTGGACCGATTTCTTTTAGATTTGGCAAACATTTGGGCGATATTATTTTTCACACATAATTACCATGACTTAAATAACATGATCCAATAGAGAAATAAATAAATTTTCATCAATAACACTGATTTATTTACTACTGATTTTGATCCGTCTTAATGAAACACCCTTATATATAATCCGACTTAATGAAACACCATTTATATATATACTGTATATATATATACCATTTATATATATATATATATATATATATATATATATTGTTCCAATAATTTGTACCGATTCTAATGTGAATTAAGTTTAAGCGCCTAATGATTTTTTTTAATTTTTTTTCAGATTTGGTGAACATTTTTCACACATAATTGCCATGAGTTTAATAATCTGATCCAATAGAGAAATACATTTTCACCAGTAGCACTCATTTTTTTACTGCCGATTTTGATCCGCCTTTATGAAACACCCTTATATAAAATCTGTCTAAAGGAAACACCTGATAACAGTTAGTGATCTTCAGAGGGATTTTATAAGTTTTAACCGATATCAACGCTAACGGGTCGCGGCGTGGTGTGATGGTTAGCAAACTTGTCTAGCTCGATCAGTTACGACTGAAAAGCGAGTTCGATCCTCACTAGGTGCCTCATACTCTCGGCCTTGTGCCACATCTAAGCTACACTTAGGAAATCTTTTGGGCACTTCGACTTGGTTTAATGGTTAGCAAGCTTGTCTCACTAGATCAGTTAAGACTGAAAAATGAGTTCGATCCTCACTAAGTACCTCATACTCAAAAAAAGATAGTATCTGCAATACATTTTTGAAAAAAGATTTTACCAGCAATACCTTTTTGAAAAACAAAATATTTTACCAGAAATGCATTTTTGAAAAAAAAAAAAAAGATTTTACCAGCAATACATTTTTGGAAAAATGATATTACCAGCAATACATTTATGGAAAAAAAAAACCATTAATAGCAATACATTTTTTGTAAAAAAAAAAAAAGAAAAAAAAAAGGATATTGCCTGCAATACATTTTTTAAAAAAGATTTTACCAGCAATGAATTTTTGAAAAAAAGTTTTATCGGGAATACATTTATGAAAAAAAAAAAAAGAAAAAAAAAATCCAACAAGACATTTTTGAAAAACGCATTACTAGTAATATATTTCGAAAAAAAAAATATTGCCAGCAATACATTTTTGAAGAAAAAATATTACCAGAAATACATTTTTAAAAAAAAAATTACCAGCAATAAAAATTTTGCCTGCATTAAATAACACATTTAGATTGATGTACCATAAAACAAACAAAACCAAATTCTTTCGAAAGTGAAAAAATGTTACAAGGGACAAAATCTGGGGAATGGATATGGTAGTAGACGGACCTAGGGAATGTTGCACTTGACCAAAAACTGCTGCTGAAGCTGCACTGAATGCGTATGTATGTTTTATGATAGAAATGCCACTCACTGGCTCACACATGCGCAAGCAATTCTGTCCTTTTCCGACAAACACCATCCTGCAAAAGGCCACAATACGTCACGGAAGTACTTCATGTTTACTCTATTACTGGGTTGTAGAATGATGCGCAATGCCCTTATAGTCAAAGCAAACTACCAAACATGTTTTCATATTGTTTCGAATCGTTCGTGCTTTCTTCGGTCCCGAAGAGTTTGGGGATTTCCACTGCGAAGACTAAGCCTTGGTTTCTAAGTCATAACCAGAGTCTCAGCCCAGTTTTCTCTGCCATGATCACTGATGGGACCTCTGTGGTGTGTTAAGACGCCCACACTCTACACACATTCCTTCCAAGCAATACTATAAACAACGGAAGTGACGGATACCGTTATAACTTTATAGCTACAAGTGCGCATGTGCGATAGAGTTCGAGGACTTTAGCTCCGTTGCCATAGCAACAGTCCCGTATTTTTTTTAATCAGAACTCGAAGAGAAAATAATGGCATAATTAGATATTGACTTACTACGCTACCTTAAGCAAAAGGATAGGAAGGAAACTTCAATCAGTTCTAGAAAGAGCGATAACAATTATTCGACTTTAGAAACCTGATTTCCTGAAAATCTGTCTTAAGCGAATTTTTTTTTATAAGTTCCATCTGACAGTAACGCTAATTGTTCGCTCAATGAATGCCGAATGTTTCCTTATAAGGAAACGTCTATTCTCCCCATTCCTTTTATCATTGACCAGGAATATTGGACAAGAATAGCCAGTACGTGTCTGTACAGGCACAGAGTCGAATACTATTGGCCCGATGTTCCGATAAAAATATTCTTCATCTGTTATTCCTCACTGACTTGTTATGGCGCACAAAAACGCCAACATTTTGGTTTCCAAAGATCTGGTTTCTCCTGTTATGAGCTTCGCAGAACGACTCTCTTGATTGCATTTATAAATGACCTTGTAGAAACGTGACTAGAATAACAAAGGATTCCTCTTACGAATCCCTTGATCTTTCTCTTTCTAAATCTCTCTTTCTATCTCTCTCTAACTCTCTTTTTATCTCTCTCTTTCTATGTCTCTCTTTATATCTCCGTCTTTCTAACTCTCTCTTTCTATGTCTCTCCTTCTATATTTCTCTTACAATCTATCTCTTTGTAACTGCCTCTTTCTGTCTCTCTCTCTATCTCTCTATTTCTATCTCTCTCTCTCTATCTCTCTCTCTGTCTCTTTCTGACTCTCTTTTTCTCTCCTTTTGTCTCGGTATTTCTACCTCTCTCTTTCTAACTCACTACTTCTATCTCTCTTTTTTCTCTCTCTTTTTCTCTCTCTCTCTTTTTCTCTCTCTCTCTCTTTCTGTCTATCTCTTTCTATGTCTCTGTTTCTTTCTATCTTTTTTTCTATATTTCTATTTCTATCTCTCTCCTTCTACCTCTCTCTTTTTTTTCTCTCTCTCTTTCTATGTCTCTCTTTCTATGACTCTCTCTCTTTCTATGTCCCTCTTTCTATCTCTTCCTTTTTATCTATCTATGTCTTTCTATCTCTCTATTTCTTTCTCTCTATTTCTATCTCTCTATTTCAATCTCTCTATTCCTATCTCTCTATTTTTTTCTCTCTATTTCAATCTCTCTATTTCTATCTCTCTCTTTCTATCTCTCTTTTTCAATCTCTCTATTTCTATCTCTCTCTTTCTATCTCTCTATTTCTATCTCTCTATGTCTATCTCCCTTTTAAACTTTTATCTTCCTAGCTTTCTCTTTCTATCTCTATCTAACACTCTCATTCTCTCTCTCGCTGTTGATCTCAATCTCTACATCTCCCTGTTTCCCTCTATCTGTTTTTGTCTCTCTCTCCCACCCTCTCTTCTCTTCTTCTATTCTTTATTATCTCTCTCTCTCTCTCTCTCTCTCTCTCATTCTACTTAGCCTCTCTTACTGCTGCCCTCTTTCATTTTCTCTCTGCCTATTTACCTCTTTGCCACTCTTCTCCCTTTCAGTTCTCCTCTTTCCCACTTCTCTCACTTCTCTCCCTCTCGCTCTATCTGTCTCTCTTAATGTTCTCTCCCTGACTCTCTCAACTTCTTTTATTACGTCCGTCCCTCTTTCTCACAGTCACATTGTCTCTCTTCCTTCTCTCCAATTACCTCCTTATCTCTCATCCATTCATTCTCCCTCCTGTACAATTCCCTCCATCCTTTCTACTTTTCTTTCTTTTTCGCTCTCCCATATAGTTCTTCCTTAATCTAGTCTTCTTAAAAAAAATCTCGCACTTTAACTTGGATTATTTGCCATTTGGGAATTACAAAATAATAACTAAGAAAGAATAACAATGTCTCGTTTTTGTTACAATTGCTGTTTTCCGAAGTCAGTCAAAAGATTAGACTTTGAAGATTGGTGAAACACAATCTTCTTAGGAACATTCATCTCATTAACCTTTTGACATACAAAGCTAATCATCATTATAACCTACATCACAAGTAAGAGTGTGTTACGACAAAAAAGAGGTACGGAAGAAAGATTTATTCTTGCATTTACATTTCCCCCATTATGAGCATTACTATATGAATTATATAATAACACAGTATTTCACAGACGGAACGGAATGGCAGAAAGGAAAAAGAATGACAAACATGCTTTATTCTCAGAGATACTTTTATAATACAAAGACATACACAAAACCATATATATATATATATATATATATATATATATATTTCTGTCAGTGTTTCTGTCAGCATGCGTGTATTTCCCCTCCATACATGTACTGTCTTACTATGAGGAATTGGTATGCTCATTTTTCGCGCATGCACGCATACCTACACATACGCACATTGCCAATTCAAGAAAGACATTCGGATTACTAACACAAAAACAGAGAATGTCTCATATCGAGAATATTTAACATTGAAAAACGTAAGGAAGAGATTAATTATTTTTAATAATATGTGAAAATCTCCGCTTTTACTTGAAGACAGTCACGAGACCAGAAACACGTGTATATGGAAAATAAAGGATTTTTTTTTTTCTAAAAAAACACATTACAACTAAAAACATTTGCGGCACCTCTTCTTTCTTTTTAATATATATATATATATATATATATATATATATATATATATATATATATATATATATTTCCCACACGGAGAATAATATATCACATATAGCACAGAGTGAGCAGAGTGCAAGGGACAACGAAAAGGAAATTTTTACAGATAGTATGGACATTCTTCTGTGCTTCTGGAGAAGCCATGTTTAGGACATGACAATCAAACGAACAGTATTCATCTACTAAATCCCAGGCGAAAACATATTCCCTGAACAGGAAACAACGAATCTTTGGTTTTCCCAAATTGAAGACTAAGAACCGGAGTTTCTTTCTGTATCTAGGAAAGGTATATTCCCAGATGGATACGGCACCCTGTGTTTGTGAGCCCCTAGGTTAGTCAGATTTAGTCTCAGCCCAGGCCGTTTTTTTCGGGCCAAAAAAAAACAAAAAAAAACAACACCTTGATTTCGCTGTTGTAAACAAACTGAATGACTGTCCACTCTCGTCTCCGTCTAAATTGACGTCACTAAACGGCCCTCACGTGACCCATCACCAAAGTGTGATAATCACCTTCTGTATCTCTACAGCTTTAACGACCGATTTCGCCGAAAACCGTCTGGAAATATTAGAAAAACTTGATCTACACGGAAAGAATACTCAGATCAGGCGTAAATTGCATTGGAAACACACTGCTTGTATAGGGATGAAGAACAAGCTAAACAGATATGCAGAAATAGAAAGAGGATTACAACAAGTATGCTTTCTCACTTGAATTGTTTAACCCGTATAGTGAGTTTTATGCCAGACCAGAATACAAGTACCACTGGTAATCCCGTAACACCTGCCGCTTTGTCGGGTCAACGGTGACTATACCGATACCCCCACTAGGTTTTCTCGTGAGGAGAGTGGTTAGATACCTGAAAGCTTATTTTACCCTTCTAAGCATCTATCCACCTTTACAAGACCTGTAAAAAAGGCAAACAAACATCCTTCTAGGTTCAACAGCCATATGGTCCAGTGGGAAAGACTGTGGTCTGTATCTTTGTATGTAACCAGAGCGGTGGTTACACGGAATCGTGTCCATGAGCAAAGTCTTCTGGCACAGTCCGGTAGGTTTTATCATCTCTCAGTTGAGTGTCTGTCTTCAGGCAGAGTGTGCTTCGGTTCCGGCTCCGTGGGAGGACAGAGGCGCAACCGAGAAAAATCACACTATGCTGTGACAGAGGAACAGACGCCTGAGGCTGCACCTTCTCCTTGCGCTAGGGAGAAAAATCGGTGCTTACACCGAGACCAGCACAACCAACGGTTGCCGCTGCTCGGGGAATTTTTGTTCTTGGCCCGAGTGTACGCGCTCGGGGTCCCCCCAAATGAAACCCGATCTTGTGCCACAAAACTTCTCAGTGGGAAGGCCGGGGTAAATATACTTATAACCATCGGAAGTTGAAAAGGTATGGCTACGTCCCACGATCCAACTATCGTTCCACGAGCAAACATAATGTGACAGCATAGACATCAGAAGAAAGAAGACGCAGTCATAGAAAAGTGAGCTGACAATGTCATTTATTAAACCGGAAGATCCTTCGCAAAAATTGAGACAGAGATACGCGGACGGGATAAAATATGCGGGCAGGTTATGCACTCAGCTGCAGAACATTACGACAATTACTAGCCATTAGACTAATAATTATAATAATGATATTGAAATATAAAAACATGCTTCAAAGCGAGTGCTATGTTTACATATATATTTCCGGTATAGAAAATTGGTTTGGTTTATTTTGTTTTAAGGCATATCAGCCTCAATAGATTATTTAATGCTGACAACAATTTTAGGATAGACTGGTATGAACAGAATATGTATTCATTGCAAGAAATCTGTAGATCATGTTTGTTATGATGTTAATTTGGGGTTAATAAAGACAAACGCCAAATAACATGTAACAATAAAATGGGGTTTATTCGGTTGGTAAGTTGGTACAGATATCGCCTGAGTAGTCTATAACTAACTCAGCTCAGAACTTCTTTGACACTGTCTTTTGACATGCCACTATTTTACGTCCTTCTTTGTAGACGAGTTCATCTTCAAGAGGGGTAGTAGGTTCCCACACAACATGTTTTATTAACGTATTTTTAAGGTTTTAAAAATACGTAAATGATAGAGTTGGTGCAAAAATAATGTAATAATGTCGTTTTTGACGTAAAAAAAAATACGTCAAAACGACATTATTACGTCATTATTTTTGCACCATCCTAATAAATAATGTAAAATTAGAGTTTTATAGTACTTAGCAGGGATCCATTTTTGAAACAAAAATTACCAGCAACAACTTAAACATTTTCAAAAAATAAATCCCTGCTATTTACTATAAAACTCTAATTTTACATTATTTACATTATTCGAACTGTTACCCTCATCTTATATTGCCATATTCACAAAGTTTCGACCATTGTATGCTCCGGCCTTCTTCATGTCATTAGAATTTCGAACCAAACCCTTTATTTCATCCACTGGGGTTAATTGTTCTAATTCCATGTGCCATGCCTCATCCGGATGTCTCAGTTATTTCCCTTTAACTCACATTTTGGTTCACCATTGTTGCAGCCTTGTAATGAACTCACAACACTTTGGGTCTAGTCACTGGATCTAATCAGCGTCTTTACCATGTGTCCTTGAAATAATGTATGTAATCCAAATACCTAATCTCAGAGATATAGACAGAAATCTATTTTTATACTTTCATTTGGGGGTTAACTATTTCGCCATAGCAAGGATACTAGCAGGTACTACCACCCAGGGTCAGGGTGGATCTGGGAACAACAGGAATTAAGAGGTGGTACCACGCTCTTCAAAACCTTCTGATCAGAGTCCTTGCTGCTGGCTGTAGTTTATCGTCATGGGTTATTTAATGCCGACAAGGTTTTTATTGCTGGGACTATCTATCTATCTATCTATCTATCTATCTATCACAGTCAAATAATATCTATCTATCTATCTATCTATCTATCTATCTATCTATCTGTCTGTCTGTCTGTGGCGATCTATTAATATCTATCTATCTATCTATCTATCTATCTCAGTATATATTGGTTTGGTTTGGTTTGGTTTGGTTTGTTTTACGGCATTTAAACCTCAATGGGTTATCTAATACCGAAAAGATTTTTTTGCTGGTAATATTTTTATCTATCTATCTATCTATCTATTTATCTATCTATCTATCTATATATATATATATATATATATAACATAATGAGAAATAGAAAAAGTTTTAAATTAAAAAAATAATAATATTCTTTTATGAAAGTATTTATTTATTTGTATATATATTTGATATTTCAGATTGGCCTCAATCTTTCTTCAGAAATAACTGTTTAGACTTGTAAACAAATAGTTATTTCTGAAGAAAGATTGAGGCCAATCTGAAATATCAAATATATATACAAATAAATAAATACTTTCATAAAAGAATATTATTATTATTTTTTTAATTTGCAACTTTATATATTTTTTGAAAAAATTATTGCTTGTAATATTTTTTTTACAAAGATGTATTGCTGGGATTAAAACCCATTTTTACACTTTTATAATGTTTTAACCCTAGTTTGGGTGTTAACTATTTGCTCATAGCTGGGAGCCAAACACGTGCTACCACCCCGGATAAGGGTGGACCTAGATACACCAGCAATTAAGAGTTGCTTCCACGCTCCTCAATACCTCCTCATGAGAGACCTTGCTTTTGGACGTAGTTTATCATCTTACCCAGGACACGCTTGTTTTTGTTAAATATGCTCAAATTTATTTATATTAGTTACATCGTTTGGACTGTAGTCCTTATCTTTATTTACATATGAACGACGCTTCGGCCATTGTACGGTCCGG